ATATTCAGATTAATAACAATAATTCAATTTGTTCAGTATAATTTTACTAAATTTACACAAATACCTACATTTAGTTATTTAAATTGGACAAATGAAATTAAATTAAATCTGGATTTAAATTATCATTAAGATTAAAAAGAGTAATCAAAACGTAGCAATTTGTTGTTAAAGTTAAATATAATTGTATTAAATTGACTCTATAAATACATTTGATTGTTTAAATGGAACTTTATCTATAAGATAAAAAATATTAGTTGTTAGTTATACCGTAAAAATGAAAACCATCCGGAAATTATCCTAAATTTTTAGATGTTCCGCTTTTATATAGCGCTTATTTTAAGAATTATCGTATGCGTTGTTGCGTGTTGTTGAACTGCTGTGGCAGGTAAAGCAATTTGCAATTTTGGGAAATATTTTACTCGTGTGAAATCAGCAATAATCATTCAGCAATAAATTTTGCATATTTCCTACGAAAGTAGAAATAACAATATAAATATGCATATGAATGCATAAAAGGAGTATTTAGGCACTAAGTAACACAAATTTGGCAGTTGGATGCTATTTCAGGCACCTTGAAGGCAGTGCACCTGCGCATTTTTGTTGATTATTTATCCTCGGACTAAGGGGTGGCTTTTTCAACCCTTTGGACGGTCGTGCAGCTTGGTATTTTTGTTAAAAAGTGGAATTGTTTCAGTACCTATATGGTGGGTCGCTTCGGGTGTATTCGGAAATTTTGGCCGTTCTTTTCGAACATGAATCAAAATATATCATTCAGCAGATTATCGGGAAACGCTGGAACTCTTGTACTAGTTGCTGTAACGGGAGTCCGTTTACGGATTTTATTTGATTCGAATTTCATTTAACTTTTTTGCTGCATAGAAAGCTTGGGGCGCTAGTAAAATTAGTTTTATTGATAGAAAGAGTTCCGAAATGTGTGTCCACCAACAAAGAAAAGTACTTAGTGGGAAGTAGGCAATTCGCGTCGAACCGCGAGAGGAAATTAGCGTCAAGCGGCCACAGCACATAAATCGGTCACCTGTAATTTGGGATAGGGGGTTGTTCAATGTGGTAAGTCAACCACGTTTAATTTACCACTTAGAAACAATTATGTATGTATGCTTTATTGGTGATTTATACTTACAAGTATTTTCACACGTCATTTTGCACAGACATAATTGACCATAAATAAAATTATCTACCAATACAATATAAATTTAAAACCTATTTTCTTAGACAAGATGACAATTAGGTAAAATGACAAAGGACAAAATAAATATACATTTAGACAACAAAATCGCAACATCTTCACAAACAGAGCTAGCAATCTAAGTCATTGAAACTATTGTTCAAAAATTAGTAGTGAGTAGAATGCTCGACGTTTTAAATATTCCTTTACACTAGCTTTGAATGATAGTGAATCTAAGTTTTTAGTTTTCGTGGGTAATGCATTATTAAACTTCATCCCATAATATGATACGCCATCCTTTGTTTTATTGAGCCTATGAAAAGTTATGTAAATGTGTTCTTTGTTCCTTGTGTTATAACTATGCAAATCCTGTTTTACAGTTTGTGAAACTATGTTCTCTTTAATATAGAGTAGGCATTGAAGTATATATGTACAAGGGAGTGTCAAGATACCTAGCTCAACAAATCCACTCCTACAGCACTCTCTGTACTTGATATTTTTTATTATTCGGATACACTTCCGTTGTAAGGCAAATAAAGTATTTGCATGTTTCGAATGGCCCCATGCAAGAATTGCATATGATAAAATTGAATGAAAAATGCCATAATAGGCTGTAATTACAGTTTCCATTGAAGCAACTCTTTTAAGATTCCTGATAACAAATATAGCTTTAGATAATTTAGCACTTTGAATAGCTACATGTCTGTTCCAAGTTAGATGTGGATCTAACGTTACTCCCAATATCCTAAAATCTGAATTTTGATTAATGAATTTTTGTTTCCTTAGCGTCAGTGTCATGGTTTGTGTCTTTGATATAGGTCACAATGGGGAAGATCATTAATATAAGGAACAAGATGGGCTCCAAAACAGATCCCTGTGGCACACCGTGCTTTAATTGTGACAATTTTGAAACACCATTATCGTAAATTACATACATGTCTATTTGATAAATAAGAGTGGATTAACTGTACACTTTTGTTTCCAAAGCCATAATTTCGTAGTTTATCGATTAAGATTTTGTGTGATACGCAGTCAAATGCTTTGGTAAAATCAAGACCTGCTAAACTAATGTATTTTTTATTTTCAAATCCTTTCATAACTGTTCGTGCTAAATTAGTCACAGCCAGAGCAGTAGACTTTCCTTTTCTAAGCCCAAATTGCGATTGACTAATTATATGATGATCCTCGAAATAAGTTTCCATTTGAAGTTTTAAAACAGATTCAAAAATTTTGCTAAACACGGGCGTCAAAGAAATAGCTCTATAGTTATTAGGATCAGACAAGCAACCTTTTTTAAAAAATGGTACGACTTTAGAAATTTCTAATACGGAAGGAAACGTACCACTCGCAATACATTTATTAATTAACTTTGTCAATGGATATAGTATAACATCCTTCATTACGGTAAATACGAATAATAGTGGAACATTTTAACCCACAAAGAATTAAAATCGTGTAACTTTGAATAAAGTTGAAGCGGATATTGTTGTGAGTCTTACATACTTTACGTTTAAATGTTGGCGTTATTTTTATTTAACGGATAATTGAATATCAATTGCAACATTTGATATAATTTAGTGACGATCAGTCATAAATAGAATGGATCCATTCATATGCATATGTTGTGGTGGATGTTACAAACTTTATAATAATATAATACGGAAAATAAATAATAAAATTATAAATGAAAAATCTTCGCACTGTAAAAATGTTGAATGTATATCAATATGCATATTCTAGGTTGTCGATCAGTGAGGTGACTGCTCTTTTCAAAGTTCTTAAAACAAGTTGTAAATCAGCATATGCACGATTAAAGCGCATTTTTGGTAATGCAGGTCAGTATTTTATTAGTGAAGTTTAAAATTATCGATCTCACTACTCACTAGTAATTTTGGCTGCGTTTAATAATTAATTTTATTTA